CCCCAAAACCCCAAAACCCCAAAACCCCAAAACCCCAAAACCCCTTGCTTATAAAATTTTACACAATTCAGAGTAGTAAAGATAAATTAATATTATAGTGCGACTGTGAGTGAGCATTAAGCTATTTTAATACATTTTTCTCAATAATTATTGTTATTTCTGCCATTTATAATAAAGATTTGAATTTAAATAGAATGAGAAAGCTTATTTTTGGCTCTGCTGTCCTAGCTTTGCTATCAAATGATTCATTTGCTCTTTAACTTAAAGATAGAAGAAGACGTCAGGTATAAAATCAATTGTAAATATTTAATCCATAATCCATAATTAGATCTACTTAAGATTTAAATGAATCAGGACTTACCGCGAATTAAGATTCAGGGAATTCTCTTGCTCCTATTGAAAATGGATCTTCAATTACAAGTGTAACCTCAGGGAGCAATTCTACAACTATAGTGAATGAGCCTTATAGTACCCCCGTTACAACTGAGGGTGATGAATCTGAAGATGATGAAACAGAAGATGCTTTCATCAGTCATTCTTCAATTTAAGAACCAGAAACTTCTCCAGCTAACAACTTGCCTAATTAATAAGTAGTTTCTAATCAAGATAATGAAGATTAAGGCAATACTAATGCTAATTCGAATGAGAATGGGTCTTAATCAGAAGAAGAGAAAGAAACAGAAACAGAATCTGAATCTGAATCTGAATAAGAGTAGGAATCCGATCCAGGAAATGGTGTAGTTATTAATGATGAAGAAGTCAAAGAATTAGAGTAATAAGAATAACAAAACGGGGTCCAAGAAGGAACAGATGACTTTGTTGACAATTAAGTAGCTGTTGATGAGGATAATAAAGACTCTGATGATGACAGCGATGATGAGACAGAATCAACAAATTCTGAAGAAAACAAAGATGAGGATGAGAAAAATTCTGACTCTGACAACGAATCCGAAAACTCTGATGAAGAGGAAGGAAAATCAGAAAATGATGAAAATGATTATGAAGATGGCTCATAAAGTGAGGAAGAAGAATCTACTGGATTCTTTCAATCAATTTCAAAAGCATTGAAAAACGTGTTTCATTCAGAGGAAAAAGACAAGATAGATGGTGGAATAACCACTGTTGATGTTTACCATGTTGAAACTAATAATACAACTGAACCTGCTCTTCAAATTGAAAGAGTTCATCACGAAACAAATTCAACTAATGGTGAAAATTCAGAGTACTCTATCTCTCTATTCACAGGAGACCAAGTTTAGCTTCAAAACATTAGAGATTTCATAAAATTAGACAACTCCTTGGCTAATGATACTGGAGATGCTGAAAATGATTTTCTCAGATATCCTATCGCTAGACAAATAAATGCAGATGATTTTGATGATGAAGATCAAGAATCAGAGCTTGAGAATTAGGAACCATCTGGAGAAGATGAGAAGGAATCAGCTGAAGATGAAGACGAAGAAGGAAAATAGTCACCTGAGGATGAAGAGGGAACATAGTCAGCTGAAAATGAAGAGGAAAAATAGTCAACTGAAAATGAAGAGGAAAAATAGTCTGCTGGGGATGAAGTAGGAACATAGTCACCTGAGGATGAAGAGGGAAAAGATTCAGCTGAGGAAGAAGAAGGAACATAGTCACCTGAGGATGAAGAGGGAAAAAATTCAGCTGAAGATGAAGAAGGAACATAGTCACCTGTGAATGAAGAGGGAAAATAATCAGCTGAAGGTGAAGAGGGAAAAGATTCAGCTGAGGTCGAGGAAGGAACATAAACACCTGAGGATGAAGAGGGAAAAAATTCAGCTGAAGATGAAGAGGGAAAAAATTCAGCTGAAGATGAAGAGGCAAAATAGTCAGCTGAAGATGAAGATGAAGAGGCAACATAGTCAGGTTAAGATGAAGAGGCAAAGTAGTCAGCTGTAGATGAAGAGGCAAAGTAGACAACTGGCGATGAAATACAAAATGAGCCTACTGTAGAAGAGGAAAAAAATCTACTTGGAGAAGAAGAGAAGGAGACATCAGGTTAAGTATAGTCATAAGAAGAAAATAAGTAGGTAGATTAATCCCCTACAAACATAAACACTCAAAATAATTAAGGAAATTCTACTTCACCAACTACTAGTGGTGATGCTAATAATGGAGGCTCAGTTTAATCAACTGAAAGTAGTACTGTTATTTAAAGCCAAGACTCTCTTTCAGCTGCTAATAATCAGACATTAGGGGATATTAATAATGAGGCTATTACTATGGTTCAAACTAGCGTATAGGATATTGCTACTGCTAGCGTTTAAACCGAAAGTTCCTCTGTCAATGAAATTGATCCAAGAGATTACTGCAGATCTCAATTAAGCAGGTTCATTGCCCTACATAGAAATCTTGATGAAAATACCTAGAAACTTGTGGATGAAATTCAAGGAATTCTTGATTCAGATTTAACACTATAAGATTTAAATAAATCTGAGTACAGAACTTACATTGAGAAATGCATTGGACTTAACAGACAATGATGAAATCAATGGGAAAACTCTTTGATTTAGAGATATGAGTAAATACTCGTCAAATCTTCAATTAGGTTTGCCAACAGCAACTATTGAAGTTTAATTCTTAAAATGATTTACTTTATAAGTTATATAATAATTAAGAATCTCTATTGTTTGGAAAATTAAAAATAATCAAAATTATATCATTATTGTACATTATGGTATTTATGTTGGCATGTGGGGTTTTGGGGTTTTGGGGTTTTGGGG